AAGGAAAGGAGTATGGCTCTCAGAATTGCTGAAGGTTCAGATCTAGAGGATGATGAAATAGCTGTGATCACAAGAGATTTCAAAAAGTACCTTATGAGAGGAAAGGGTTCTTCAAGAGGTACAACCTTCAACAAACCAAGGGCTCCTGAGAAACAGACCAATGAGGGTTGCTACAAGTGTGGTAAGACTAATCACATGATTAAGAACTGCCCTCAATGGGAAATTGAGTGGAAGAAAGAAAGGGCTGAATGAAGGAATAGGAAGAAGGAACAGGTTCAACCAAAAAGGAACAAAGGCTCAACAAAAGCTATTGTTGCTGTCTGGGGAGAAACATCAGATGAGGACTCAGAGGATGAAGCTGAAGAAGAACAGGCTCTTATGGCCATCGGAGACTCAGATGATGAACAAGAGGTAAGTATTCTTTTTCTCAAAGACAAAATTAAATTTCTGTCTAAAGATAGGCTGGTTGAGCTATTACTAGATTTCATTGATGAGTCTGAGATAATTAACAATGAGAAGGAAGAACTGTCTAGGGAATGTGTGATCCTAAGAGCAAAATGCAAAAGCTTAGAATCTAGAGCTAATGAGTGTAATAGCAAAAATGCTGAGTTGAAGAACCAGGTTCATGAACTTGACACCAGTATCCTAGAACTTAGGTCTGAAAACTTAAAATTGAAACTAGGAACAGGAAAGAAGAAAGCTGATCACACATATCTCACTCTAGAGGAAAACTTAGGAAAAATGAAGGATGAATTGTATAAAAAGGATGAACTGATTAAAGTCCTAAAAGAAGATCTAGGAAAAGTGAAACATGAACTAGACAGAACTTGCAAATGGAACAAGGCCTCTGATGCACTCTCTTGGTTGCAAGAACATCACAGTAGCAACAAACGAGGACTTGGCTATGGGACTCAAGCACCAAAGTGGGACCCTAAAAGCAAGTACCTCACACTTCCTGAGAATAAAATATGCACACACTGTGGCAAGACTGGCCATTACAAAAATGAATGTAATGCAAAAGTAAAGGCCAGTCAAAAGAACAAAGCCTTTGTTCAAGAGAAAAGTAAGCTGCCTGGGTGGGCAAGAAGGAATTTGATTCATCCTTTTGCCTATAGAAAGGGACCCAAACTAGTTTGAGTTCCTAAGACTAACCCCTGATCTCTTTTGTAGGTCCAAGTGAAAGGAAGCAGCCAAATATGGTATATGGATAGTGGTTGCTCAAAACATATGACTGGGAGCAAGGACCAGTTCCTTTCACTTGAGAACTTAAAAGGAGGTAATGTCTCCTTTGGTAATGGAAAGAAAGGTGAGATCATTGGGGTTGGAAAGGTAGGTAAGACAGATTCTCATTCCATAGAGAATGTCTACTTGATAGATGGCTTGAAATATAGCCTAATAAGTGTGTCACAACTATGTGACAGAGGTAATCTTGTAGCTTTCACCTCTACCAAATGCTTTGTGATTAACCTTACCACTGACAAGATTGCTTTGCAGGGAAAAAGAGTTAACAATATTTACATTGTAGATTTGTCCACTCTGTCAGAAAATGAACTCACTTGCCTAAGTGTGTTGGTTAATGATCCCCTCCTGTGGCACAAAAGACTTGGTCATGCCAGTTTGAATCAGCTAAACAAATTAGTCTCTAAGGACTTGGTGATAGGGTTACCCAACATCAAGTTCAAGGAAGACAAAGTTTGTGAGGCATGTGCAAGGGGGAAGCAGTTAAGATCATCCTTCAAAACGAAGAAAATAGTAAGCATGTCAAAGTCGTTGGAACTGGTTCATATGGATCTTTGTGGTACAATGAGAACCATGAGTAGAGGTGGAAAGAAATATGTAATGGTACTTGTTGATGATTATTCTAGATTTACGTGGGTACTATTTCTAACATCTAAAGATGAAGCATTTGATATGTTTACTACTTTTGTTAGAAAAACTCAGAAACGCTTAGGACATCAACTTGCATCCATTAGGTCTGATCATGGAACTGAATTTGAAAATGCAAAGTTTGCTGAATACTGTGATGGAAATGGTATAGATCATAACTTCTCTGCCCCTAGGACTCCCCAGCAAAATGGAGTATTTGAAAGGAAGAATAGAACTCTTGAGGACATGGCTAGAACCATGCTGCTTTCTAGTAAATTGCCTCACAGCTTATGGGCTGAGGCTGTAAACACTGCATGTTACATAATCAATAGATGCATGACCAGACCTCTGGTAGAGAAGACTCCTTATGAGTTACTTAAAGGGAGAAAACCAAATATATCACATCTTAGGGCATTTGGTTGTAAGTGTTATGTGCATAATAATGGAAAAGACTCTCTAGGTAAGTTTGATCCCAGAAGTGATGAGGGAGTATTCTTGGGATATTCTTCACATAGCAAAGCATATAAAGTGTTTAACAAAAGAACTTTGTGTGTAGAAGAAAGTGTGCAAGTAGTATTTGATGAAACTGACATTCTTTCTGAGAGACAGGAATATGAAGATGAAGCCATTGGATTGGTAAAGGACTTGACTGAAGCCTCAGCTCAGGTCAAAGTGGCACCAACAGAAGGAACAGGTGATGGAACAGGTTCTTCCATACAGGGCAGCCTGACAGGGGGAACTAATCAAAGAGGAATTGAAATAAATCTCCTAAAGGAACCTGTTCATGACCCTGCATGGGAGAAACATCTAGTAGAAACCAGTTGGTTGTGAAACCTCACAAGTATCAAAGTTCTCATCCCATTGAGAATATTATCACTAATTCAACATCTGGAGTTAAAACTATATCACAATTAAAGAATCTGTGTGCTTTTGATGCTTTTCTATCTCTTATTGAACCTAAAAATGTTGTTGAGGCTTTGTAGGATGCAGATTGGGTAAATGCAATGCAGGATGAACTCAACCAATTTGAAAGAAGTCAAGTTTGGCATCTAGTTCCAAGACCCAAGGATAGATCAGTCATTGGTACAAAATGGGTCTTCAAAAACAAACTTGATGAAGATAGAACAGTTACAAGAAACAAAGCAAGACTGGTAGTTCAAGGTTACAACCAAGAGGAAGGCATAGACAATGATGAGACTTTTGCTCCAGTTGCAAGACAAGAGGCAATCAGACTTCTCATAGCCTTTGCAGCACACATGGAATCACTCTTCATCAAATGGATGTTAAAAGTGCCTTCCTGAATGGCTACCTGAAAGAAGAAGTGTTTGTAAAACAACCTCCAGGGTTTGAAAGCAAGGAATGTCCTGAGCATGTGTACAAGTTAGACAAGGCTCTCTATGGACTCAAGCAGGCCCCAAGAGCATGGTATGAAAGATTGTCCAAATTCCTGCTGGAGCATGGGTACAAAAGAGGTAAAATTGACAGTACCTTATTCTTAAGAGAAAAAGGTAAAGATCTCCTTGTTGTGCAAATATATGTTGATGACATAATATATGGGACCACCACTGATAAGCTAAGTAAGGACTTTGCAAAATTAATGGGGAGTGAGTTTGAAATGAGCATGATGGGTGAGCTTAACTTTTTCTTAGGCTTGCAGATCAAACAAAATCCAAATGGAACCATGATCCATCAGCAAAAGTATACAAAAAAGCTAATCAAAAAGATTAAAATGGAGGAATCTAAAGAAATAGACACACCCATTGCAACTGCCACTAAATTAGATGTTGATGAACCTGGTTCATCAGTTGATCAAAAGTTGTATAGGGGTAGGATTGGTTCACTCTTGTATCTTACTGCCAGCAGACCTGACATTGTTTTCAGTGTAGGGCTTTGTGCTCGTTTTCAGGAAAATCCAAAAGAGTCTCACTTGACTGCTGTCAAGAGGATACTAAGATATCTGAAAGGCACCACTGATATATGTCTTTGGTATCCCAAAGGTAGCAATTTCAATTTAGTAGGATATGCTGATGCTAATTATGCAGGTTTTCTAGTGGATAGGAAGAGTACCTCAGGTATGTCACACTTCCTTGGTTCATGTCTTGTGTCATGTGCTACCAAAAAGCAAAATTTAGTGTCCTATCTACCGCTGAAGCTGAGTATATTGCTGTTGCTTCTTGTTGTGCTCAATTGCTATGGATCAAATAACAGTTGGTAGATTTTGGAATTGAAGTGGGATGTATTCCAGTATTCTGTGATAACACTAGTGCTATAAGTATGACAAAGAACCCTATTCATCATAAGAGGACTAAGCACATAGATGTCAGACACAACTTCTTAAGGGATAACTATGAGAAAGGATTGATTTCAATAGAATTATGTGCTATTGATAAACAAATAGCTGACATTTTTACTAAAGCACTGAGTAGAGAAAACTTTGAGAGGAACAGGATGGAATTAGGGATGATTAAGATCACCTAATAGGTCCAGTTAAGAATGATCAATGAAAAAAAAATTGAAAAAAAAATTATTTTTTGGTTAGAAGTTCTAACTTTGTGTAAATATCTAGACCAATTCTTACTCAGTTTCATACTTTAATTAGTATACTCCTGTGACATGTGTATATATGACTCACTGATCTCTTACAAAGTTTTTCTATTATGGCATTTGAGGCATGTTCAAGAGAATTCTATATGAAGAACCTGGTTCATCAGTATGTGGTCATATGAAAGCTCAGGTATGTTTTCTATACTCTGCACAATTAGAAAGATTAATTATCCAATCATGAGCAGAAGTCCTACATTCGTCAAATTCCCAGAAATTCTATCCGTTGAGCATTGAACCAGTTTCGTTCTCCTAGAACTCTAAAAACCGGGATTTTCCTGAAAACTCTACCGCTGCCTAATAATTACTAAGAGACTGGAATTACACCTTGATTAGACCTCTAATTGACCCCTAAAAAGGTTGTCGTTACTGCACTTATGACTAATTGCCTTTAAATACACACCACACCTCTTCTTCACAATCCCATAACCGTCAAAAATTATATCTCCAGTTCTAATTGATTTTTCTCTCTAGAAATTCCAAATCGCCTTTCTTCTCAGAAATTTCCAAAACTCTTCCATAAACGAAGAACCATGTCTAACCCCCAAGATAATCCTGGCACTCCCCCACTAGCATCCCCCTCTAATACATCCTCATCTACTCCTCCAAGTGAATTCCTAAAACCTAGGCTTCGTAGGCAGAAAATGTTGGCTAGAAAAACTGTAGCATCCGGAGCCCTAAGGAAAGTTCTAAATGAGAAATTGAAGGCTAGCCAGATGAAGGAAAGCCCTGCTCACGAATCTGACTCCAGCTCTAAGTCTGAAGCTTTTATTTCTGCCAGTGAAGGTGAAGAACATGGGTCTTCTGACACAGAGAAAATTCAAGAAACCCTGGTGAGGTAAGCTCTTGTGTGGTATTTTCTTCTGTGGTTGAAAACACAGACAATAGGTTTGTTCTATTTGGTCCTATTAAAGATGTAAAGGTGGCTGAATCAAGTAGGAGTGGAGGTAAAAAGAAAAGAAAAGAGAGAGAGGGAGCAAGTGGTGATGAGAGGGGAAATGGGAAGGAAAAGGTTCTTGCTATCTGTGGAGGTGTTGAAGAAAGTGGCATCAAGTCAGGGGGAAGTGGTTCTGGGGAGGCGGCTGAAGGGCGTGTTCATCTAAGCAAGCAACAAGAAGAACCTGTTTCATCAGCTGAGGAAACCCTGGCTGACCTTCTGAAAAGGGTTGGGGCGAGCTATGATCCAAAAAAGCGCAAAGCTTCTTCACAAAAGGCTCCAACCGCTTCCAACCCAACCAAGAAAAGCAAAACTTCATCCCCAAAACCTACTGTCCCTTCAGTGCCTAAGGGAAGAGCTACTAGAAGCAAGGTCAAACAAAGTGAAGCAGAGTTACAGAAAGCTCTGGAAGAAAGCAGGAAGAAGAAGGAGAAGGGAAAAGAAAAAGTTGTAGAAAGCTCTGAGGTAGCAGAAGAAGAAGAGGAGATGGAACTGGTCCATCAAGAAAGGGGAACAACTGAAGAGGTTCCTACACCCANCATGAGACTCCTTGAGTCTGTTCACTTGCCGGACATTTTGTTGATTCTGTTGTTGGTTTTTTCTCTCCCTTGCCGGGATACTGAGATTATTAAGTTGTATGTCATGTGTATTCCCTTGCCGGGATTTTCATTATTGTTTATTTACTCTCTTGCCCCGTATTTGTGACTGTGGTTTGGATGAGGAAATATGATCTTGGTGGAGCGGGTTGCACGCCGCAACAATGATATTGAGGATCGGGTTGCATGCCGCAACAATAATATGTGAGGGTCGGGTTGCACGCCGCAACAATGATATTGAGGATCGGGTTGCACGCCGCAATAATAATATGTGAGGGTCGGGTTGCACGCCGCAACAATAATATGTGAGGGTCGGGTTGCGCACCGCAACAATGATACATGATAAATGATATGGGTCGGGTTGCACGCCGCAACAGTGGTATTTGTGGAGCGGGTTGCACGCCGCAACAATGATAATTATGGAGCGGGTTGCACGCCGCAACAGTTATTTGATGCCCTGTGTTTATATTGAGTATTGATTCCTTGTTTATGGTGGATCTAAGTTGCTTTAGTTTATTACCCTGGGTTACTGTTAATATTGTATCTCCCCATAGCATGTTTCCCCCTCCCATATTGTTAATTGCTTTGTATTCGATTTTCGCTATATATTTATAACTACACAGGTTTATGTGGTGTCCAGTCTAGCCTCGTCACTACTTCGCCGGGGTTAGGCTAGACACTTACCAGCACATGGGGTCGGTTGTGCTGATGCTACACTTCTGTGCATTTTTGCACAGGTCCAGGTTTTGAGGAGCAGCAGCAGCAGTAGTACGGGAGCAGGATTCATTTACACGAGACTGAGGTAGCCTTGCAGGCGTCCGCAGGCCCGGCGTCTCTTCTTTATGTTCTCTGTTTTGACTGTTGCCTCATTGTTTTCGAGACAGACAACTTATATATTTCTTTCATACCTTTGTATTTAGTATATTCTTAGTAGTTCGTGAGTAATGTGACACCAAATCTTGGGTAGAGGTTATTATTGACTATTCCGCATTTTGTTTTCTATTTATAAGACAGACTTCCGCTACTGTTCTTAGTAGATTTCATGTTCTATATTGATGCTACAAACCGTTAAGATAATTGTTTATTGATGAAAAGGTAAATAAGTTGGCTTTCCTAGCTACCACGAGTAGGCGCCATCACGGCTCTGATGGTGGGATATCCGGGTCGTGACAGGAACAGATTGGAATTAGGGATGATTAAGATCACCTAATAGGTCCAGTTCAGAATGCGCAATGAAAAAAAAATTTGAAAAAAAATTATTTTTTGGTTAGGAGTTCTAACTTTGTGTAAATATCTAGACCAATTCTTACTCAGTTTCATACTTTATTTAGTTTACTCCTGTGACATGTGTATATATGACTCACTGATCTCTTACAAAGTTTTTCTATTATGGCATTTGAGACATGTTCAAGAGAATTCTATATGAAGAACCTGGTTCATCAGTATGTGGTCATATGAAAGCTCAGGTATGTTTTCTATACTCTGCACAATTAGAAAGATTAATTATCCAATCATGAGCAGAAGTCCTACATTCGTCAAATTCCCATAAATTCTATCCGTTGAGCATTGAACCAGTTTCGTTCTCCTAGAACTCTAAAAACCGGGATTTTTCCTAAAATCTAGAAATGCCTAATAATTACTAAGAGACTGGAATTACACCTTGATTAGACCTCTAATTGACCCCTGAAAAGGCTGTCGTTACTGCACTTATGACTAATTGCCTTTAAATACACACCACACCTCTTCTTCACAATCCCATAACCGTCAAAAATTATATCTCCAGTTCTAATTGATTTTTCTCTCCAGAAATCCCAAATCGCCTTTCTTCTCAGAAATTTCCAAAACTCTTCCATAAACGAAGAACCATGTCTAACCCCCAAGATAATCCTGGCACTCCCCCACCAGCATCCCCCTCTAATACATCCTCATCTACTCCTCCAAGTGAATCCCCAAAACCTAGGTTTCGTAGGCAGAAAATGTTGGCTAGAAAAACTGTAGCATCCGGAGCCCTAAGGAAAGTTCTAAATGAGAAATTGAAGGCTAGCCAGATGAAGGAAAGCCCTGCTCACGAATCTGACTCCAGCTCTAAGTCTGAAGCTTTTATTTCTGCCAGTGAAGGTAAAGAACATGGGTCTTCTGACACAGAGAAAACTCAAGAAACCCCTGGTGAGGTAAGCTCTTGTGTGGTATTTTCTTCTGTGGTTGAAAACACAGACAATAGGTTTGTTCTAGGTGGTCCTATTAAAGATGTAAAGGTGGCTGAATCAAGTAGGAGTGGAGGTAAAAAGAAAAGAAAAGAGAGAGAGGGAGCAAGTGGTGATGAGAGGGGAAATGGGAAGGAAAAGGTTCTTGCTATCTGTGGAGGTGTTGAAGAAAGTGGCATCAAGTCAGGGGGAAGTGGTTCTGGGGAGGCGGCTGAAGGGCTTGTTCATCTAAGCAAGCAACAAGAAGAACCTGTTTCATCAGCTGAGGAAACCCTGGCTGATCTTCTGAAGAGGGTTGGGGCTAGTTATGATCCAAAGAAGCGAAAAGCTTCTTCACAAAAGGCTCCAACTGCTTCCAAGCCAACCAAGAAAAGCAAAACTTCATCCCCAAAACCTACTGTCCCTTCAGTGCCTAAGGGAAGAGCTACTAGAAGCAGGGTCAAGCAAAGTGAAGCAGAGTTATAGAAAGCTCTGGAAGAAAGCAGGAAGAAAAAGAGGGAGAAGGGAAAAGCAAAGGTTGTAGAAAGCTCTGAAGTAGTAGAAGAAGAAGAGGAGATGGAACTGGTCCATCAAGAAAGAGGAACAACTGAAGAGGTTCCAACACCCAAATCAAAAAGAACCAAGACTTCTTCAAAGAAGTCTTCCTCTGTACCTGTACCTGCTGAACCCTCTTTGGCCAAGAGAACAAGATCTGCAGTGAAAGGCAAGCAGGTGAAAATTACTGAGGAAGATGAAGAATGGAGTGGTGAAGAAGAAGAGGAAGAATCTGAGAAAGAACAAGACAGGTTTGCCATCTTTGGCAAAAGAAATTTTTTGAAAGGAAGGCTGCTGAAAGACCTGGATGAACCAGGAATGAGGAGGTTGGTGGATGCTCTTACTGCACAAGGGTGGAAGGACATGGTCCTTGAAATGGATGGAAGGCTGGCCAGGAAAGAACTGATTGAGTTTATGGCAAATGCCACTATGAAGAATGGGGTAGTCACCAGCCTGGTGAAAGGAGTAAAAGTGGAGTTTGATGCACTCAAACTGGGTGAGATTCTGGACATACCTAGTGAAGGGTATGATGATTATACAAGGCAAAGGTGGCCATGTCTGGATTCTCTCCCTACTGCTCTTCAAATCACTAGGAATTTCTGTGATGCTAAAGCTGCTGAAGATGTGCCTGAAGCTAGGTTCGTGCAGAAAAGTGAGATGAGGGATGAGCACAAGGTCTTGTTTGAGTTTGTCAACAAGTGTCTACTACCCAGACAGGAGAGAAGGCACACTGCCAACTACATGGACCTGGTTCTTATAGAGTGCCTTGTGAGAGGAATGCAGATCAATTGGCCTGCTTTTATTGTCAAATTACTAGACAGGGTCATCAATGGCTCCAAGGCTCATGCCACTCCATATGGGTTCATATTGACTACTGTTCTGGACAGGCTGAATGTGCCTTTGAAGAAATGGGAGATGGCATCAAGCAAGGAACATTTTGGCGTCAAGACTCTTCTAGCTTGTGACTATCCAGTCAATGCCACCCCAGTTGAACCTGGTTCATCTCTGAAGACACCCATCAACAGCAAGGTTAGGGCCTTGGTTCAGGAGTGTAGAACTAAGGATGATGAAATTGCTAGGCTCAAGGAACGCGTGGCTGAATTAGAGAATGTGAGAGATGGCCTTAGAACTGAGCTAGCAAAAGAAAAGGAGAAGGGTGATGGAATGCTTCAGAATATGCTAAACCTTTTCCAATCTCAACCCTCTAGTTCTTCCAAGCCTTAAGCCTTCCAGCACCTGTCTTTAGATCCAGTCTAGTACCCCCCCCCCCAGTGACCCGATTTAGGGATATTTCAGTTTTTGCTCATGTTTTGGAAGTTTTTTCTTTCTTTTTGTGGTTTGTTTGTGGAAACATATCCTTATCAATGACAACTGCTGTTTCTCTTGTTATATGAAGATTCTGATCTTAATAGTTTAATTATGTCTGTTGATTATTGATAAATTGACTCATGTTTTCACTTGCAGTTGCCTCAGTGGCCATGAGTAATTATTAAAATCTGGGATTCACACTGTATGGAACTTTTCGATGATGCCAAAAGGGGGAAGAGATATTGTGCTTTACTCTTTATTCTGAATAATGTGATATTTATAACTTAATTAAACCTGGTCCTTGATGATAAGTTAAAATTCTAGGTTAAGTGTTGATAGTTAAGCTGAGTTCTTACAGGTTCTTTGATCAGTAAAAGCACAGAGTTTGTCATCATCAAAAAGGGAGAATTTGTTGGCCCAAGTTCAGGTGAACTTTTGAAGAATGACAAATGAACTCAGTAATGGACCAGGTCCATCGTGTGAGGCACAATGTTTATCAACCTATACATGTGAGATACACGTGAAGGAGATAAGTCTTAGTGATCAAGCAGCAATATCTCCTTAACTGATCGAAAAGATTGCATATTGGATAAGGAGAGAAAGTCTCCTTATGAGAAGAGGACACAATCCGGATAAAGGATAGGGTTGGAGTTTATGGTGTTCAAGGACTCAACTTCGATGGAAGATCAGCAATTGAGTCTCAATCAAACTCTAATTACTAACCCATTAAATAACAGTGATTGTTCTCTTTTACAGGTATTGCACAAATGCAGAAGTTAAACTAAATTGAGAGCAAAAGAGCGAGGCAATTTTGCAAGCAATTTATGTGAGATTTAAGTGTGCATTCCTGAAGCTACTTGGACAAGATAGAAGAACCAATTCCATTGTATCTTTCTTTTATTTTAGTTCAATTGTAGTAGGTGATTTAAACTTGTACCTTTCAGCCTCTCAATTGTATTAGGTACTTTGAGTATTCAAGTTAGAGTTAACTTGAAGTTGTCGCAACAGTTGAGGCTGTGTGCCACAACGGGATTAGAGTTTAATCCTTAGGTTTACAAGAGTTTTGTAAATGTTGTTTTAGCTCAGTGATTTTAGTGGAAGTTTGGGAAAATCCTACTGAGTAGTAGGTCGTGGTTTTTTCACCTTTTGAGCCAGATGTTTTCCACGTAAAAATCTCTCTGTTCTTTATTTTATGTACTTTTAATTCCGCAAACAGTAGTAGAAAGTATACCTAGAAGAACCAGGTTCTTCTAGAGCGAAAATTGGATACCACACAAATCACCCCCCCCCCTTGTGTGGTATTGACATTTAGCACATCATTGGTACTCGGTTGAGTAAGGTACCGGGTGCCCGTCGCGGCCCATCGATTTGGGTCGTGACAAGAATCCTCATCCTCTCACGAGTCTATACATACAAATATCCTCAAAATCGGACCTCAAATCACCAATTTAAACTCTTCAATTTCAAGCCCTAATCTCCCAATTTCTTCCCTAATTTTCGCACTAATATCATGATTAAACAATGGAATAATTTCCATAAACACAAGATACAAGGTCCAAGTAGCTTACCTCACTGAAAACACTTAATTCCCTCTTGAAATCACAGTCCCCAAGCTCCAACTCATCCAAAAGTGGTGAAGAAATGGCAGAAATTCGCGAAGATGGCCTTTTATACTTTCTGCCCAGCGATTTCCGCATCTACTGTCCCTTACACGCGCTTGCGGGACCGCTTCTGCAGTCCAACCAAACGCATCTGCGGTTTTCACTTATCCGGCCATAGCTGCATCTGCGGCCTAATACTCGCACCTGCGGTCACGCAGGTGCACTCCTCCTCTCGCATCTGCGGATCCTGGCTTCCTTGGCCTTAACCGCATCTGCGGTTGCTCTTGCGCTTCTGCGGACCTCGCACCTGCTGTCCCTAAGCCGCAGGTGCGGTTATGACAGCTGAATGAATTCTTCAGTACTTCCTCAACTCCCATCCTTGATCCGTCAACCTCCCGAAATCAACCCAAGGTCCTCGGGACCTCAACCAAACATATGAACAAGTCACATATCACTATTCAAACTTATTCCAACCTTCGGAACACTCAAAACAACATCAAAACACCAAATCACCCTCGGATTCAAGCCTAAGTATTTCCAAACTTCCGAATTCCTCAAACGATGCAAAAACCTATCAAACCTCATCCGAATGACCTGAAATTTTGCACACGCATCAAAAATGACACAACGGACCTAATCAAATTTTCGAAATTCCATTCCGACCCTGCTATCAAGATTTCCACTGCCGACCGAAAAACTCCAATTTTCCAATTTCGCCAATTCAAGCCTAATTCTACCACGGACCTCCAAATTATATTCCGAACACGCTCCTAAGTCTAAAATCACCTAACAAAGCTATCCAAACCATCAGAATTCACATTCGAGACCTTCTACACATAAGTCAACATCCAGTTGACTTTTCCCACTAAAGCTCCTAAATTAGAGACTAAGTGTCTCATTCCACTCCAAGACCACTCCGAACACAGAACAATCAACACGATATGATGAAACATAACTGAAAATACAATAAGAAACAGAAATGGGAAAAACGGGGTTGTAACTCATGAAACGACCGGCCGAGCCGTTACATGAACCACAAAATTAAGACATAACAAGACTTAGGATATATTTCCACTGCCAGTGACTATCTATTTCTTACAGACTCTACTGGAGTTTAAATTAATCTAACAATGTCATCCACTTTATAGTTTCCTATGCAATATTACTCTTCTGGAGTAAAATTGAAATCTTAATCCGAAAACGAGTATGTGAAAATCGGAACATAAAGATATACAAATTATAGTGTTTTGAAATTCATAAAATGCTCCAGTATCTCGTCCAATGATTATGGCTCACTTGCTAGGTTCCTAAATACCTTTTTTTTAATGGCAGTAGCATACATAGCAAGTAAAACACATAACTTATCCTCAATGGTGTCTGCTAGACCCATTAGATCATGATAAATTTTAGCATCAAGCACCCAAGACACGTAGCTTTTGTCTGATTTATCCAGTACTACAAATTCACGTTTAGAAAAATTTGACATTATTTACAAAAAGAAAGTACGTACCATTGATACTTTCTGTCACGACCAGGATTTCCCACCCTCGGAAGTCGTGATGGCGCCTACTAATAGGAGCTAGGCAAGCCATTAATTTAACATTTCTCTCAACAACATTAACAGTATAAAGAAGAACGAGGCAATTAATATAAATGCGGAAGTCTCGAAACATAATAACTGAAACCAAGTGCGGAAATTCAAATACACTTCTATCCAGATCTGATGTCACTAACTCACGAACTTCTACTGAATGCTAAATACAAAGTCTGAATAAGAATACAGTACTGTCTGATCCGATACAAGGGAAATCAAACGAAAGACAGAGATAAGAGAGACTCCGGGCCATGCGGACGCCAGCAAGGCTACCTCGGAAATCTCCGGACTGAAGTAAGCTCCCAACGCTCCTACTAATGTCCAAAAGCTCCTGCTCCGGTACTGTGATCTGTGCAAAAAGCACAGAAGTGTAGCATCAGCACAACCGACCCCATGTGCTGGTAAGTGCCTGGCCTAACCCCGGCGAGGTAGTGACGAGGCTAGACAGGACCTACCAAAAACAACCTGTACAGATATATATATATACAAAGGCAACAGAAATAACAACAGAGAATATCAACTAAAAAGGGGAAGGGGGCATGCTCGGGGAAAAATACAGCGAACACAGACCAACGGATATAACGACGAAACTATCTCAATACCATAGCTCATTTATAGGTGGTCGGCGCGCCACACGATCCCTTTTCTTAATTCATAAGTGGACGGCGTGCCACACGATCCCATTTCTTAATTCATAAGTGGACGGCGTGCCACACGATCCCATATCATAGTATATAAGTGGACGGCGTGCCACACGATCCCATATTATAGAATATAAGTGGACGGCGTGCCACACGATCCCATATCATAGTATATAATATCTGACTTTGTAAAGAAGGCCCCATTAGGGGAATTCAACAACATAACACTTTAACCCGGCAAGGGTACAGCTAACAGCCCAAATATCCCGGCAAGGGAGAGTACATAATAATAGTCTACACGTCCCGGCAAGGGAATAATCACAACACATCCTCTTTTAAATCACTTCTTTCTCGACTATCACATTCTTGTTCGAGCCAACGCTCCAAAATATACCAATCACAATTCTTCCTCAACCGTTCACATTATATGAAATTTATCAATTTAACCAGGAAATTGTGTCACGTCATTCGAATTAAAAGCAGTTAAGACTCACGGTCATGCTAGACTCCGGTGCATAGATAACCGTCACCATGCCTATACACCGTACTCCACATTTAGCAAGTAGCAAATAACATCCTAATCCTATTCCCTCAAGCCAAAGTTAGAACAAACACTTACCTCAAATGCTCCAAACTCAACTCAATCCTCTAGTATAGCTTTACCCTTCGAATTCACCACCAAACCGCTCGAATCTAGTCACAAATTACTTGAGTGTATCAACAAAGGCTAATCTAATAAATTTGAATGCATGAAAAGTGAATTTCCCAAAGTTTGTTCAAAAATCCCCAAAATGCCCCCGGGCCCACGTGGTCAAAACCCGAGGTTCGAACCAAAACCCGACTACCCATTCCCCCATGAACTCAGATATATAAGTTATTTTGGAATCGGACCTCAAATTGAGGTCCAAAACCCCCAAATTTTGAAACCCTAGTTCTACCCTAAATTCCCAAATTCCCCCATTAAAATCTTTGTTTTGAAGTTGAAATTATGTTTAAAGATGTTAAGAAGCAAGGAAAATAAGTTAGAAATCACTTACCAATCGTTTTGAAGGAGAAGAATCGTTTGGAAAATCGCCTCTTATGTTTTGGGTTTTGAAAAAGTGCAAAATGACTGAAAATCTCAGATTTATATACTTTGCTGAAGGACTGGCGCGGACCGCGCAAAAATGCCCCGCGGCCGCGCCGAGGAAGGGAGGGAAAACGACTCTCTGAACCTATCCAGCGCGGACCGCACTGATTTGGTGCGCGGCCGCGCTGGTTGACCTAGAGTTCACTGGCCCTCTGAACCTAGCCACGCGGACCGCGCAGAAATGCACCGCGGCCGCGCGGTTTCCAGCGCGGACCGCGCAGAAATGATCGCGGCCGCGCTGGGGGCCTGCAACACCTGGACCTGCAATTTCTGATGCTTTTAAGTCTAAAACCCTCCCGGGACCCACTCAAAACTCACCCGAGCCCTCGGGGCTCCAAACCAAACATACACACAACTCCAAAAACATCCTACGGACTCATCCGTGCGATCAAATCGCCAAAACAACATCGAATTAGGCCTCAAGACCCATGATTTCCTTCCAATTTCCATGAAACATCAAATTTTACTGTTGCTAGCTCAAAACACGTCAAATGACGTCCAAATCTAACCAAACTTCACAGCAATTGCTTAACTCATATTTAAGACTTGTGCCGGGCGTCGGAACCAAAATACGAGCCCAACAGCACAGTCTTCTAAACAAATAACACTTTCAAATTCTTTAATTATTTTCAGAAAACAATTTCACACAATAATTCATTTCTCGGACTTGGAACCTCGGAATTTGATTCCGGGCACACACCCAAGTCCCAAAGTTTCCTACGGACCCTCCGAGACTGTCGAACCACGAGTCCGGGTACGTTTGTCCAAAACGTTGACCAAAGTCAAACTCGATCAATTTAAAACATCAAATTTTATTATTTTTCTCACAAATTCACATGTAAACTTTCCGGTTACGCGCCCGGACTGCGCACACAAGTCGAGGCAACCCCCAAGTGAGGTTTCCAGGGCCTCAGAAGTGCAGAGGGAGTAGGAATACAGGTTATGACCCCTTTGGGTCGTCACACTTTCAAAGTATTTGCTCGAGATGGTAGAGTCTCGTGCTGATAACGTGTTATAAAATAAAAACTGTAAAGTAAATAAATTGAAGACAAGTATAGAGAGAGGTTGATGTATTATTCAACTTCAGACTGATGTACATAATGAACTCAAAACTCCTCTATTTATAGAAGAAAGGAATCAATTGTGAGGCTTTCTAGGAAGCAGCTGCTAGGCTTTTCAGGAAGTAGCTGCGAGGCTTTCTTGAGCTGCTTGTAAGTTGTCTGCATGAACTGCTCGCAATCTGCCTGTTTAATAAGAAGCTGTTGCAAATCATTTCATTGAGTTGCTTGCAACCTGCATGCATGAGCTGCTTGTAGATAAACTTCAATAGAGTACTAAATGGAAGATTATCTATAGCGGAGTAATAAATGGACATCCACAATATAATAGTTTCATAACAAACTTGAGATATTTTTGCTTTTTTCTTCATGCTCTAAGTATTTTTTTTTAATTTCTTAAGAATTATTTACTCTTATGGTCAATGAAGTTAACATTTTTCATGGATCTAAAATAAAATTATAAAACACTAAGGAAAGGAAACAACAATAAAATAAAATTTTTAAAACAGACGAAAGAAAGAAAAAGAAAGTAATAATTTAAGTGTATTCCACCAGTGATAAGATCAAGCGCCCTAGTCCTAATACTTTTCTTTTGCCTATTTTCTTCCTTTTCTTTATCTCTTCTTTTGTTACATTTTTATCCTCTTTCTTATTTTCTTCCTTTTCTTTATCTCTTCTTTTGTTACATTTTTATCCTCTTTCTTCTTCTTATTATTTCAGTTCCAGCAATCGAAAACCCCTAATTTATCCCTAAAGTCACAAATTAGCAAAAACCAATAACTCTAACCTTTTGGGTATATCCCCTGGGAAATTAAAAAAATTCTTGATTGCATATAATGAGGTTGACATATCTTGATTGGTAGGAGAACGTGCAAAATGCAAATAATACAATGAGGCTATAAATAATTAC